CTAATACACGGGTGCAGAGTTTCCATCGCGGGCAAGGCAAATTCGCGCGCAGGGACTGGGCATCTTGTGTATCTTTCTAAGCACTGTCTGTTTCAAAATCCACGCATAAATTTGTCCTCCCCATGAGTGCTCTGACAATTGTCCGCAAATCTTGCATCACGTCACGTCCTCTAGTTAGCTCCACTTTCCCTGAGTCTCGAGGCATAACACAAGTGAGAACTTAAGAGTTAGTGCAGAGAAAGATTCTCGAGATTTTCATCCGGTCCCCTGTTGTCATAATGCACGCAGTCAGCGACTCTGAGTCGTATAAACTACAAACACTTCGACAGTTTGTTCAACCATCTGCTATGATGCATCCTTCTGGAGCCATTTCACTCAACCGCGACTGCGCAGACCGCGAAAGTGACGAAAGCAAGAAAATGATTTCGCTTAGTGACGGTTTGTGCGAAGACGTAACGACGATGACTGTCACGGGATCATGCCGCGAGGAAGCGACAGAGCACGACGACGCCGGTAGCGATCGCAGCAGTCGTTCCAGCAGTCGTCGCAGCAGTCGTCGCAGCAGTCGTCGCAGCAGTCGTTCCAGCAGTCGTCGCAGCAGTCGTCGCAGCAGTCATCGCAGCAGTCATTCCAACAGTCGTCGCAGCAGTCGTTCCAACAGTCCCGACGATTTCGATTTCGCGAGGGCCTTCAGGGGGGTCCCGCGACTCTCGTTTCAAGACGACGACGCTTGGTCGGACTTCTTCTCGGGAAGCACGGCAGCAACAGCGTCGGTCGACTCTCCGGCGTTTCGGACCCACAACTGTTCCCTCGGGCTTTTCCGCAGCGGCTTTCGCGGGGAGTTTCCCGGTGGCGGTGCTGACGGCGATGTTTGCCTGGGCCTTGACAGCGGACGAGACGGAGAGGCCGAACCAGTGAAATTATCGCATGTTGAATGCTCCTCGTGGCGCCTCGCAAATCGGGTCGGATTCGAAGTGCCAGTGGAAGTACCGCACGCATCTCGGGCTGTATCGGCGGAATGCACTTTGGTGCGCCTCATAAGTCAAGACGCGGACGGGGACGAAGAAGTACCGCGTGCATTAGCTCGGTGTCAACCTCAGGCTGTACCTCGATCGGCGGAATGCACCTTCTCGGACTCGGTCTCCACTTTGGTGCGCCTCGTAAGTCAAGACCGAGAAGGAGACGAAGAAGCGCGTGCATTAGCTCGGTCTCAGCCTCAGGCGGCTGCATTTCAAGCGGCGGAATGCTTGGGAACTGTCGACGCTGCGGCGGAGGAACGTTCGCCGGATCGGCCCGTCCGAGAATGCTCGACGGTGACGTTCGGGAGAGCCGCGTCAGATGCACCGGATATAATCCGAGATGGTGTGACGCGTGGTGCTTCTACGGCATGTGATTACACGACGCGTGGTGGTATGACGTGTGATGCACGCGGTGGCTTGGGAGTTGGTGACGAGCGGGCTTCGTTAGAAGATGACTCGAATAAACCGCTAGTGGCTCCCCAGCGGAGCCTGTGGGGGATGTTTCGCGAGACGGCGGCATCGACGGGACTTCGACGCGCTACGCCAGCGGTTTCCGCCGCGGCGACGGATGCGAGGGTTGCGACGACGAATGCGACGGTTGCGACGGATGCGAGGGTTGACAAAGATTTTACGACGTCATCCTTCGTTTCGACGTCCGAGGATGGGCCACGTCAGCAGCGGGACCAAGGTAGCGAACGACCGCGAACGGCTGGTAGGAACGCCGATTTCCTAGAATATAACGCTGGCACGTCATCGGTCTTCTCAAAGGAGCTAGTCGACGAGGCTGCTGATCTGGCAGGGCGTTGGAGCCAATCGCGTCGAGACACGTGTACGACGGAGGGTTGGAGCCGAAGCAGTTCGACTGGTACCAATCCTGAATCGCAGAATGGACCAGAGCCGCTCTTGCGCCAAGGAACCCGCGGCGCGTCTGGTGTAACATCTGGTAACGAAGGCCAGACGCAGGAAGGGGGCGACATTTTTTCGCAACAATTCGTTTCTGTTCGCGAAGCAGAGGAGAATGGGAAGAATAAGCTGAAGGCGACCTGTGTGGAAGAGGTTCGGATACAAGGCAGGTTGATCCGAACCACTTTATGGAAGGATTTTCGGCAACTAAAGCAGGAGCATCAGCCGCAACAGCCGCAGCAGCTGCAGCAGTGGGAGCAGGAGGAGTGGGAGTGGGAGCAGGAAACGGAAGCAGAAGATGAAGTGAGAGTTGGGACTGCAAGTTTCGTGCCAAGCTGGTCGTCTGGCACCACGGATTTCTCTCGTGCCAAGCCCACGGCCCTGCTGTGGGAGCAGTATCAAACCCGGAAAAAGCAAGTGGTGGATGAAGGGCAGCAGGAGCAGCAGGAGCAGCAGGAGCAGGAGCAGCAGGAGCAGGAGCAGGAGCAGCAGGAGCAGCAGGAGCAGGAGCAGGAAGCAGAAGATGAAGTGAGAGTTAGGGCCAAGGGTTTCGTCCCTGCCAAACCCAAGGCCTTGCTGTGGGAGCAGTATCAGGCTCGGAAAAAGGAAGTGGTGGATGAAAGGCAGCAGGAGCAGCAGGAGCAGCAGCAGGAGCCGCAGCAGCAGCAACACCGGCAGAGGGAGCAGCAGCAGCAGCAGCAGCAACTGCAGGAGAAGAAGCAGAGAGGGGAAGGAGTTGACGAAACAATGTCGTCATCAAGTGGTCTAACTCTGTCTGAGGAACCATTCTGCTTCAAACTTCCCGATCGGGCAAAACCAAAGCTACTGAAAACTGCAAATAACCCTACATCTAACCTTGCAGGTCACTGTCAAAATCCAGGTCAGGAACTGCACGATAAGCCACCCACGCACCGGATTGGCTGTCCAGGAAATATTTCTTTTCGTTCACAAGACTGGCTGACCGGATCTTTGCAAGCATCTATCTCCCACCGCCGCAATCGCCGAAGGAGTCTGGATGATTCTCTTCTTGAGTCGGCACAAAAGTCTTCCCCGGGCTGGCGGGTCGAACCTGTTCCCCGCTCTTGCAAGTGTCGCGCGAGTTTTATCAATGAACCGGCCCTCAATTTGAATAAAAAGGGTTCCTGTTGCGACAGTGTTGCGAGTCGGAGTTGCTTCAGCTGCTGCCTCTGCAAGTGTGGTGGCGGAAACTGCAACCGTGAGAATCTTGGGGAACAGTGTAGCTACAGTAAACTGCATGGATGCAGTAATTCGGAAAGCTGCAGTTGCAGGCCTCTGCACAGCAAGAAATCTGCTCTGGTGAGGCAAGGGCAGAGGTGTTAGGAGCAGGATGAGATGAATGAAAGGATGCAGCTGCAGCAGCAGGAACAAGACCACCAGCAACACCACCACCAGCAGCAGCACCTGCAGCAGCTGCAGGAGAAGCGGCGGGAAATGCTGGTTGGGTGTTTGCAGCAAGCGCGGAGAGTGCATGGCAGCGCAACGGAGAGGCCGAGACGACACCGCCACATGCGTGAGGAGCAGGTGATGCTGGCACGTAGGACAATGAGCATGCCATGCAGCTGATAAGAGCATGCTGTGCAGCTGATAAGAGCATGCTGTGCAGCTGATAAGAGCATGCTGTGCAGCTGATAAGAGCATGCTGTGCAGCTGATAAGAGCATGCTGTGCAGCTGATAAGAGCATGCTGTGCAGCTGACGTGAGCATGCTGTGCAGCTGATAAGATCATGCTGTGCAGCTGATAAGAGCATGCTGTGCAGCTGATAAGAGCATGCTGTGCAGCTGACGTGAGCATGCTGTGCAGCTGATAAGATCATGCTGTGCAGCTGATAAGAGCATGCTGTGCAGCTGACGTGAGCATGCTGTGCAGCTGATAAGATCATGCTGTGCAGCTGATAAGAGCATGCTGTGCAGCTGATAAGAGCATGCTGTGCAGCTGACGTGAGCATGCTGTGCAGCTGATAAGATCATGCTGTGCAGCTGATAAGAGCATGCTGTGCAGCTGATAAGAGCATGCTGTGCAGCTGACGTGAGCATGCCATGCAGCTGATGAGAGCATGCTGTGCAGCTGACGTGAGCATGCCATGCAGCTGATAAGAGCATGCTGTGCAGCTGACGTGAGCATGCCGTGCAGCTGACACGAGCATGATGTGAGCATGCCATGTAGTTGACGTGAGCAACCCATGCTGATGTGGGCATGTGGTGCCATGTAAGCTGATATGGGATGGCATGTCGGTAATATGATTCATTTGACATAAGCATGCCATGCAGTTGACATGACCAAGTCGTGCAAGTGACATGAGCAGGCCGTGCAACAGACACGAGCATGCAGTGTGCGACTGACATCAGCACAAATGGCAGACAAGGTGGCGGTGCTGACCCAAGTATTGACCATGCAGGCCAATAGTGCTGACGAAGGCCATTGTGTGCCGAAACGCAGGACAAACTTCTGCTCTCCACTGACATCAACACAAACAGTGGATAAGGTGGCGGCGCTGACCCAGTACAGTATTGACCATGCAGCTGACTTTGTAGGTTTGGGAGGTGGGAGGAGGGCACAGCTGACATTAGTGGTGGTGGTTACCCATGTGGTTACCCATGAACATTAGGAATTCAAGTGGGATTCAAGCCAACGTTCTTCTTTGTAATCTGATGTAATATTAATTGTTTCTAGTACGGAATTTTTACCATACAATGTGTGTTCCACAGTTTAGGCCTGTAATGTTCTTGATATTCTAGCCAAAGCCACTGACAGCTCGTTTTCTGGCAAACAGGCAAAGCACAGTCTGAACCATCCAGGCTCACTACACCCACATGCACCCCCAGGTGTGATATTCACCCTCCCTTCCCTCAGCAGCCACAGAAACAATTCCTCCTCACCCTGAAAACTGTTCTTTGGCGTTATATACTCGCAAAAGTCGCACCAGAGAAACACTCCTGCGTTGCTTCCAGCCAAGCACGGCACGCCTATTTGCAACAGAGCTTCTTGTGCTGTAGACGAGGCTTTTCTGAGCCTGCGCTGGTTCTCTGAGAGGTAGGCTTGTGTGAATACCGAGTCGCTCAATAGAGGGGCAAGGAGTGCTTGGGTGTGGCGAGAGGGGGAGCAGAAGCGGGCGAGTTTGGTGACTGCTGATTGGACGGTGGGGTTGAGGGAGTAGCAAGCACCAATGCGGAACCCTGGAACACCCATGTCCTGCAGGGATGAGAATGAACATAATCATGGGACATGTTGATTACTCATGCGAAACACACGCACACACACAACACACACACACACACACACACACACACACACACACACACACACACACACGGACACACACACACGGACACACACACACACACATGCACACACACACACACATGCACACATACACACACACACACACACACACACACATACACACATACACAAAGGTACACAGTAGTTTATTCTGAACTGTCAACTCCCTTTTTCCTTACCGGTACTTAAAAGTGTACCCACCTTGGAAGGTCCGTAGACGACGTGCAGAAAGGGATAATCCTGAGGCTCTGCAAGGTGCAGAAGCGATGTGAAACCATCCCCATTATAGACTGATCCAGCATAGATCTCGTCAGATATCAAATGGAGGCGGTTTTCCCTGCAATTTGCAGCTCAACAGGGACCAAGAGTGCAGCAAAAGGCAACATAAGTTTAGGTTCGATAAGGTTAAACAGCAACTACGACAGAAGTGATGCGTGTTATCAGGGTTAATACCCGACGATTCAGCGTACCTGCAAAACTGCAGTACGCTGAGAAGAGTAGCATCAGAAAAGGTACGGCCCAGAGGGTTGGAAGGTGATGATAGCAGCACACCACGAACCTTCCCTCTCTTCCTCTCCTTCCTCCCTCCCTTCTCCATCCTCACTCCGCTCCCCTTTCTCCTCTCTGCCCTCTCATCCTCCTCCCACCCTCCTCCCTCCAGCCTTGGCTCATCACTTCCCTCCCCCTGAGACTCCCTCAGAGCAACTTCTAAGGAGGATGTGCTAATATCGAATCCAGTGTCGCTATAGGTGGCAGCAGGGATAATGGTCACGCCAGCCTGTCGCTCAAGATCCACTGTGAAACTGAAATGAGAGGGGACGGAAAGGTGGGAGGAAGGGGCATGTTGGGGGTCAGGGTGGAGTGAGGAGGAGGAGTGCGCCAGGACGAATCAGAGACCAGGGATGAGGTTGAAAGGGGAGAGGGGGAGTCAGTGGGAGTGAGTGGGGATGACTGACTGAGGGGAATGAGTAGTAAGTAGTACAAGGAAACCGGAATGAACCAGAATAGAAGCATTTGTAACCCTCCAGTAGAAACACGACTAATGTGGGGTTGACGCACAGATAGCACGAGGTAGAAGCAGAGCTTACCCCGGATAGAAAGGAGTTGGAACGATGAACGAATCGCCCGCGTCGGCCAGCACATGGGCCAGCAATCCAACGGCTGCAGTGACTCCAGACGTGATCACCAGACGGTGAGGATCGATCTCGGTTAGCTCGTGCGGATTGTGGGAAGAGGACGAGCGATCGTGGGAGAGATTGAGAGCACGTGTCATGAAAGCAGCCATTGCCTGAAAACAAGGCCACATCAATGTTGGGATGTTGGAAGGGGAGAACGGAGGAGAAACAAAACAGGTGAAGCGAGGTTGTTTTTGAGACGTCTCACGTTGGGATGTTGGAAGGGGAGAATGGAGGAGAAACAAAACAGGAGAGCACGAAGGACAATAAAGGAGGAGATGGAGAAGATTGAGAGTTTGTGTTGAAAAGGAGCAGGAGACGGACGGATGACGACGCTGATGGCAGTGGCACGGGGGTTGACTTTTGAGTCGACTCAGAATGACTTTGGATTTTTGAGTGGACTCAAAAGAAAGTTTGCGTTGAAAAAGGGCAGGAGACGGATGCCGACGCTGATGGCAGTGGTACAGGGGTAAAAAAAAAGGAAAGAAAAAGGTGAGGACAGAACCAACCAACCTACCAAACACACAAACGAACCAACTCAGTTGAAGTTGCCTGGCTTTTGTTATTGGAGAGCGCTTACCTCACGGAAAGGCTTGTCTCCGTGGAACTCTCCATAGGCTGACGTGGCATCAACGGCTGGCATCTCGCGCTGGAGGCGATCTGAAATGAGATCAAGCGACAGCTGATTGGGAGGTAGAGGGCGGAGCGGAGAGGGAGGGGAGGAAAGAGATGAACTGAGGACAATATGAGGGAGGGTCTAAGTCACAAAACTCCTTTGAGAGGCGACTTGTCAGGACCCTTCTGGTCTCATCTCAGGTCAGGATGGATTTATAATGGAATGAAGAGTTTTGTTTACGTGCAAGGCGCCTCATAGAGCAATCATCACTCTGGTTACTACCCTTGACGGGTACAGTTCCTGGTTGCCACTTTCGATGGTCACTGGTTACCACTGTCATATAGCGACATCTTGCTCTGATAATCAGCAAGTTCGAGCTGAATAGCACAATCAGGTCGTGGCTCACTGGTTACCACTCGAATGTTACCACTCAAATTTCATCGTTCGTATGTTACCGCAATTTACCACGCACTTTGTTATCAGCAAGACCCAGCTGAATTACACCATCGGGTCGCGTCCTCGCGTCGTACGGGTTTTCCCGCGCAAATCCCAGGCCTTGATAGTACATCGACGGCTCTTCGGCAGCTAGTTGCGCGCCGCGGCTGGAGAGCACGTCAGTCTCGTTATAATCACCCTCCGACATTGCTGCGACTTGGACGGATTTAACTCCAGCAGCTACGTGCGTCTCTTGCCTAAACTGACATCGACGGGAGATGGGAGGACCTAGAAAAATTGTGTTTAATTGCTCTACCCTGATCCCGATAGTCGGAAGTTTCCGGGTTTGATTGGGATAGCGACTTGCGCAGCGGCAACTTGCCAGCGCGAAGATAAGGGCTGGCATTTGACTGACTTAGTAGGCTTCATGATATATTTTGGTGTTCTATTTCCTTCGAGAAATAGTTCACTAGCAGAACTCATCCTCGTCAAAGGCCTTCAGATCAGTTCCAGCACTTCCCCATAATGCGTCCAGAAATTGCACTAGCTATCATGAAATTTGGGATTGTAGATAATCAACTACATTTTGCGTCATATATTCAAAGTACGTATTCATATATATATGCCATGAAATAAAACAACCTATTTCCTAATGTTAATAGTCTGCATGATTGTTTTTCCCCCATACTATTAGACATTTCCAGGTTTCCTCTCAACCATTATTGTTGGGAATGAAATTTTACAATATGTTATGTTTTGTCAATTACCGAATATCCCTTCTGAAGGTTGTCAGAATCTAGTCTTGTAGCGCATATTCGCTGAATGTGCCTCTGATGAATCAGCTGCGACTCGAAATGGGAAAGCTGTGCGAGTTTGCCTACGTGGAAGGCCTCTCGCGATCTCAGGAAAAGTCCCAGCCGTTTTGTCAGCGCAAAGCATCCTGTACGTCTCAGCTGTGCCACGTGGTGTTGATCCAGACCAGGAGCTGGAGCTGTGGCGCGAAGAACTGGAGTACTGCGAACCAGTGGTCGCATCTCATCGCATCGCATCTCGTTCACTAAATGCCTGGAATCGTCGGCTTGGATCTTCACTCACGATGCCATTCGACGACAGTGTTACCACGAGTCAACGACTTTATCAAAATCGTCACCTAACAGGGGCCTGGCTGCGATGATCCATGCGAGAAGGTTCAAAGAGGCCTACCTATCTCAAAGAATCTCAAAGAGTTCGAGACCATCATTTCTTAGGATCAACCTTCATTTCAAGAGCCGTTTTTCTTTTGGTTTTCGACAGCATCAGGTTCTGTTCAAAGCGACGCCAGGCTGAGGTCTTCGCAAGTTTGCTTTTCCTCCGCTGTGTCTGAGTATTCCTTTCTCAATTCCACTCCATTGATGCCATGATCGTCCTCGCAATGACCGATTTGGGTGCTGCTAGAGGAGCGGGGAACGCGGACTGGGAGCTCGAGGAGTTTCTCCGTCGAAGGGAGATCGACGGTACGCTGGCTGTGCTGCGCAGGCACGGTCACGATCTAGCAACGAAACGGCGCCGGAGAGCATACGAAACGGAGTCAGCAGCAAATGAGTCGAGTCGAGTGCCAGAAGCGGAGAGATTGGTGCTGAGTTCAGATAAGGGCTCTGCGACGCAGATCGCGGAGCTTAAAGAGTCGCCGTCAGCGTCGTCGCTGTCGCCCAGCGACAGACTGTCAGGATTGGGCGACGACGAATGGGACGATCGATGGACAGACACGGAGGACGGGTCCTCCAGTACCTACTCTGACGGAGTTAACAGTGACGGGTTCCGTCTAGAAGACTTTCCAGACGTCCAACCTCCGTCAGTCTGCTTCACGAGCAGCACTGGGTGTCAAGGAGTAGACAACAACTTCGACTTGCCTGGGCTCGAAACAGACGGCGTCATCGCAAAATCGCCACAAGTCGCCAACCCGCCCGACCGTCTGACGAGTAGATCTGACAGCGAGTCTCCGACAGGAACGGATCCGTTGCCATGGCCACTCAAGGCGACTCAGACGGCCGCTTCTCCTAGAAGTGCTGATAGAGGTACTACAAGCAGTGATAGGTATCCGCTTCGGGAAGATAACGTCGCATCGTGCGATCTTTTCGACAGCGGAGATGTCGGCGACGGTGCGTCTGTGACGGCCTCCGATCTCCAGTCGTTCCTCGAGCGGCTGCGAATCCCAGACGCCGCCTTAGAGTCGCACGGCTGGCAGCACTTGATGACGCGTGCGACGCCTACGATGCAGTACTCGTCGCATTCCAGCGACTGTGCGATCGATGGTTACCCGAAGAGCACGTGTTACCGCGGTCGCATGGTGGTCGAGGGGGTGACGTTGGAGGCAGTGCGCGACTTTCTTCTCGACGACGAGTTTCGCGGGGAATGGGATGATAATCGTCTCGAATCGACGGTTCTGGAAGACTGGAACGAATCTGGCGTGTGCGTCGTTCGCTGGGTTCGCCGTCTCCCCTTTTTCCTCCGCAATCGCGAGTATGTTGTCTCGCGGCGCGTCTGGTCGCTCCCCACTCACAACCCGCCCGAGCGTCAAACCCCTCCCGAGCCTCAAACCCTTCCCGAGCCTCAAACCCTTCCCGAGCCTAAAGCCCTTCCCAAACATAGAACCCCTCAAGAGCCCCAAACTCCACCCGAGCCTCGAACCTCGGTCGCTCGTCACACGTTTTTCTGTATCAACCGGCACACGTCACACCCGTCGGCCGTCTCTCGGCCTTCCCTGCTTCGCGTGCCGTACTTCTACTCCTCATGGCGAATCCGATATGTTCCAGGGCGAGAATGCGAGGTCGCGGAGTTAGGGGAGAATTTGGCGGGGCAAAGAGGCAGACTGGAAGGGGAAGCAAGGGAGGCGGAGGGGCAGGGGGGCAATGCGGAGGGTCATGGAGGCGATGCGGATCAGAATCGTCGGAATCTGGGAGTGGAGATAGTGACGTACCACCAGGAGGAGTCAGGGATGCCTCGGGAATTGACCAGGGTGGCTGTAGTGCGAGGCATGTGGGGTCACATGCTGGGAATTGAGGCTGCCCTGAGGAATTACAGCCAGGCTCAGCGTACTGTCAGGAACTCATTGCCTCCTTTCCTGCTGACTAATGATTCTTGAGTCAGACTCAAAAGCGAAGCTAGTAGTTAGGGAATTATGCACACACTGACGCTGACCTGCGTTTGAGTGGAAACGACCCTGATTACGAGATGGGGGTGGGGAGCCGCTTCTGAGAATTAAGTCTGGCATATGTACATAAAGCTAGCATCTACATCTTGACTCTAGCGCAGATCTTAGATAGACTGTTAATGGCAGCAAGAGATATGTCCTCCACTGTTGTACGTAGCTACAATTTGTGACCCTAAAAATCGAAGTTGCCAAAATGCTCCTCGAGCACATCCTCTTCACCTCCAGATGCCTCCAAATAAAGCCAGTTGCAAACATTTCCAGTATCGATGAGCCATGGGCCTTGAAACATTTCCATGATCTCAAACTTCAATAACTGCCGTTTTGGCCTTCCTTTTCCTGCTCCACGCAATGAGTCTGCTTAGATCTTGACACACGCTTCGCAGCTCAGAAGGCCTTTCATGCCGAAGACCACACCCAGCAGCTGCTAGAACGTGGTTGGGGACCTTTGAGCTTAAGGAAAACGAGGTCTTCCTGTGAAGTTATGAACGTTAGGATTCAAGCGATATCAGTAGCCTCAGATAGAACTTAGGTATAAATATTCAAAAACTACTCACCTAAAGTGCGCGAAGATGTAAATCTGAGCCATTAACTGGTTCAGCTGAGTTTGGGTTAAGCCAATTGATGCCGATTTTTGGTCCAGTGATGTACTTTTGCTTGCCATATGAGCGACACGCAGGACCGCCTTCAACTCTAGCTGGTCCTCACACTCACAGATATGGCTCGCTTGTTCAACCACAAAGAAAGCAGAAGTATGTCGTGACTCGCAAGGTGCAGCGTGATTTAGATCTGTGGTATCACGCCCATTGTTGAGAGGAGGCAACTAAGGTATTCCACAGCAATTGAAGGAAACACGAAGAGGGGATCGAAAACGTTCGTACGCCAGGGTTGAAATGTGTCGAGAGCGATTCAGTAGGTTCTATGTACGGTCAAAAGCGTTGATGAAATGCACAAACCGAATGGTAGGACAAGCCACCAAGGGATCATCGGAGTGAAGTTGCAGCAATCGAGGGTCGTGTTCAGAATCATCAACCTTCTCGTTCGTGTCGGGTCCTCGACGCGACGTCAACTTCTGATTGGTCTTGTGTTCTTCTGCCACACAGAAAGCCTTGAGTGACATCACTAATTACACCAGAAATGAATCTGACTGGATGCACAAGAACCGTATTGTGGACCGTGGTACAGACATTTGTTGAGTTCTCAAACCTGAACCGTTGTATGTGGTAGGCCCTGCGAATCCTTCCGCCACGGTTTCATTTCCACCTGAAAATGCTCCGCTAAGGTCGTGTCCGTAGGGATGACATGTCAAAGTGGGCAGTGTCAATTTGGCATTTTGACACTCTGCCAACATTGTTGGCAGAGTGTCAGAGTGTCAAGAAATTGCAGGTTGCCAGCCAATACAAATCGTCGGACACTTTTGAAATTGGCAGACAAACCTACAAACGAGAGGAGATTGTCGCAGGTGCCTATCTCACGACAGATGCTGCCCAATCAGCACACAACATGTCTTTTGAATTCGGCCATTTTCAAGTGCATGCAAATTAGCCTAGGAACGCTAATCAGGTGCATGCCAGGTTGAGTACACTTTTGTCAGGCTAAACAATGTCTTCCGTATATTTACACGCTTTTCGAGATTCGATTCAAATTGGCACAAAGGTCTGAAATAGATCCAATTTCGGGCTACGCAAATCGGAATCGGAATGGTTGGCTCTCGATGCTGCAATTTCTGACGTCACTCAGTGCAATGATTGCATTTCTGCCCAATTTCTATGCAAAATTTTGCTTCGCACCATATCTTTATGAACGAATTGTAATGCTAAATCGCTTGTTCTGTTGGCGCAGGTGGCGGACGCTTCGCGGGTCAAATCAGCAAACCCTAATGGGACGCGCGCTACTTGGAAAGGGTAATCCGAAACACGAGAAACATGCCCGAGTGTTAGAGGGAGTTACCCCTACCGCTAATAAGGATATCTCGTACGTTACATGTATATTTAATGACACGTAATTAACACCATGGCTGA